GGAAATGTTAACTCTTCCATTTCATTCACTCCATCAATCCTGACTAGAATTTCAGCTTCTGCTGAGATGAAGGAAGTCTTGTGACCTTGTGGAAAACTCATTACTTCTGGTAAGAAAAACAGGTGAGTTATTTTTCATTATAAACATTGTTTTCTCCTTCCCTCCAAATATATCACTTTTTACACTTCTAGGCAAACAAGTACTTGGGCAAACCTCCAAGAATTCAAGAAAAACAACTATAGGCTATAGGTCTTCTTGCATTATTTCCAGTAAAGTTGAAATGGGATTGAACCATTGTCTTCACTTTTCTGTTACCAAATCATTTATAACAGAGATGTAACTACATTTAGTTATTGTCTATAAGCAAGGATGGCAACAAAGAGTTAAAAAAAATGATAAAGTCTTGATAAACAGCAGCCAAACATATACAAGACTTATTTCCTAGAATGTTTTGTGCTTCCTCACATGAAGAAACGTAAGAATGCAATTGATTAGGTAGACTTCTCTCTTACAGTTCTCGTCCTCTCTCTTGAAGATCTGGGAGATGAAACATTTTTTTTTAGAATTAAAATTATAATAACAGAATTGGAATGGACCTTGTAGGTCATCTAGTCCACCACTACCCTGCCCAAGCAGGAGACCCTACACCAGTGGTTCTCAACCTTTTTAATACTGCGACCCCCAACCGGTCGTAAGTCGAGGACTACTCAACCGGTCATAAGTTGAGGACTACTCAACTGGTGCAGCACTGTTTGCAGAATGGGACTTTTGGCGGGCTCAGCAGGGCAGAGACAGCCTGGACAATTCCTATTGGCTTTTGAAAGCCAATAGAATTAGACTCTATTCAAGAGAGTCTATTCTATTGGCTTTCAAAAGCCAATAGAATAAAAGGGAGTAGCACAGCTAAGGAAAAGGGGAAAAAAATGGTGGACTGCATTGTTTGGCGACCCCCATGAAATGGTTGTTCGACCCCAAATGGGGTTCTGACTCACAGATTGAGAACCACTGCCCTACACCATTTCTGACAGATGGCAATCCAGTCTCAACACTCAAGAGAACTGCAACACTTTACCAGAAAATTAAGGTTTTCCAAATTGCAGAGAATGTGTGTGTTGTTGTTGCTTAAAGCAACCAACCAACCAACTAACCCTGAGGTATGAATTAATTAAGTTTAAATGCCTTCCCTTTCAACAGGCCTTTGGTCCCTAATGAACAGTTCTGGGCAGCCATCTAGCTATTGTTCCTTTTCACTGAGGAACAATAGAATCTTTACCGAATGAGGTGGTATATAATTACTGCTCCCCTAAATCAATAAATATTGTTATTGTACAGTAAAATCAATAAATATTGTTATATACATTCATGCTCGCATACATTTAACAAACAACATTAGCTTCCTCCTCCCCCAACCCAAAGGAATAGCTTCAAGAGCAGAGATGAGATTAGGTTTTTAATGTTTTCTCTATCCATTGTTGTTCCAACTCATAAAACAATTGTGCCAACTCTCTTCTCTCTCCTGCACCCTCTTCCCTCTTCAACTATTTGCTCAGTTCTCTACTTGGAACCAAGCCTGAGCAGTAAGTGTTCATTATTATTTCCATTCTGCTCCCTTTCTCTGTCACTTTTTTTTTTTTAAATTTGAAACTGCGGACCCTGAAAATGTTTGCAGGAGGAAATTAAGGTGTTCAGATGTTTGCAGAAGGAAATTAAAAATTCCCTTTGGAAAAGAAAAGAGGAAAAATGATGATATATAGATCTCTATCTTGGCCTTAATGAACGGGAGGACATAATAAGAATTTTTAGAATAAGTCTTCTGTTTTGCTCAAAAATGTTCGTTTGAAGTTCCTCATGTTGGAAGTGTGAATTCAATGGCTTTGACTTTTCAACAACCTGATAACTACAAACCACAAGAGCAATGGGCTTTAGGGAAAGAATTATGGATTCACTCTGTTTCTCTTCTTTTCTCTATCATCTCTTTTTTAAAGAGACTGTTAATCTGAAACCACTTCCTTCTGCTTTTCTTCCAGAGCATGAATATAATCTCATTTCCCCGAGTCACAGCAGAATGAAGTTCTGAAAGTTCAGAAATATGGGGAGGAGAGTGATAGCAATCTTCTACTTGGTTGTATAATACTTTGGTTACCACTAGATAGCACACAAGAGACACAACTTTAGCTAATTCCTGCATCTAGTGGTTGTCTGGATATTTGTAGTCTAGATATAATAATCCACATTTCTAATAGTTGTGTTAAGTCTTAGCCACCATCATCAAGAGTAAGAGCCTTTGATAACCCACAGTCCTCCATGAAATTGCTGTCTAGGGCTATCTCCAAGGACAACAAATTCCATAATTGTATGGAACTGTTGAATAAGGACTGGAGGAAGCAAATTCTTTATTTTGTCTCCTTCTCTGTGTAGGTATCCACAAAAGTTTATTCATCTGAGTCCTGTTAGCAAAAGTGTTTAATAGGTAAGTGTGCTGAATCTTCTGGTCATTTCTTACTGAAGTCTCTTTAACGAAGCCATCTGTTGTTACATGCACCCATTTAATGAATATGACTGCCTAGAGAAGCAATATCTTTATGTGTATGGCTTCTACACAACATTGCATCTTTCTGTTTGGAGAGATGTACACTGTGATTCTACAGCAGCCAACAACCTTGGAACAGTCATGTATTGAACTTTCCATACAAGAAACAGGAAGGGACTATAGTTGCTGCATCCAGGTGTGAGAATGGAGAAGATATGGCCTTGGGACCAACTTGGGTTATGAATGAAAATGGAAAGAAGGTTGTATGTACCTCCAAAATTCTATAGAATTCATCGGCATGCTATGTTCAATAATCAATAGTTTAAAAGACTCAATTTTTGTTTTTCAAGGGTCAGTCTCTCATCTTTATTATATATTGACAACAAGCATGAGAACACTATGCTCAGAGCCATCATATTTCTCTTTAAAATATCATGCTGTTAGTGAAGGACCATTTCATGTCCAGGTTTAGATCATTGGGGTGGCTTTTGGAGACAAAATGCTTATCAATACTCAACCTGATACTTAGAGGAAATAGAAGAAGGGAGATACGTAATACCCCTAGGAGCCCTGATGGATCAATGGTTCGAATGCAGTATTGCAGGCTAATTTTTCTAACTGCCAGGAGCTCAGTCCCAACCGGTTCAAAGTTGACTCAGCCTTCTGTCTTTCTGAGGTTGGTAAAATGAGGACCCAGATCGTTTGGGGCCATATGCTGACTCTGTAAACCTGCTCAGAGAGGACTGTAAACCACTGTGAAGCAATGTATAAGTCTAAGTGCTATTGCTATGTCACTTATGCCACACTGCTGTTGTGTAAATGATGTGAACTATGAGATGTAATCATATATTTACATAATTTGCATGAGGATATCACAATGCTTATGTGCCCTGCAGATATTGCCTCACTCTTCCCCAAGGGAATCATGCCATCCAGAACGGGGCTTTTCATAACCAGTCACATGGTCATGAAAAGAGTGGAAAGTAATTGTGTTTTGCTGCTGTTGTTATCCCAAGGCAATCCCTTTCCTGCAATTGCACTCCAGGTGTTTCTTCTGCTGTTTCACCACCTAGCTCCACTGAAAATCAAGGGGCTTCCTGGACACCTTAGGTGTAGAGATCCTACACAAGTGCAATCTCATTTGCTGGTACTCTTTTATTCCAAGGGGCAACCAAAACCTCACTCAAAATGTGCAACATAACCAAAGGAACAATCCCACACTCCTTTTGAAACCCAATTGGTTCATCAGATGCTGGGTGCTCTAATTAATCAGGTCCACTCCCCATGTAGTAATCAAAAATTACTCACAACAAGAGACTGCTGTTAATCTTCTTGAGTTTCAAATCACATCACTACCACCCAAGACAAAAGATTTAACATGTGACCTCCTCTTTGTGTCAGGTGCTTGATGGTCTGAGTTAGTGTGATGGAATGTACACCCACAGGAGTGAAGGGGGGAGAGATATTTTTGACAATGCTCAGAAAGAGGGCCAAATTACGAGAATGCACAGTCTCAAACTGGATGACATAGGGGGAAGGGACTCAGGGTAGCCACACCCTAGAATCCCTCAGGATACATCTAATGAGCCGTGGTGGTGCAGTGGTTAGAATGCAGTATGGCAGGCAAATTCTGCTGACTGCCGGCTGCCTGCAGTTCAGCAGTTCATTTCTCACCTGCTCAAGGTTGACGCAGCCTTCCATCTTTCCGAGGTCAGTAAAATGAGGAGCCAGATTGTTGGGGGGCGATAAACTGACTCTGTAAACCACTTAGAGAGGGCTGTAAAGCACTGTGAAGTGGTATATAAGTCTAAGTGCTATTGCTATTGCTAATACCTTAGAAAGTTATAGCTTTAGTTGGGCAAGATTCTATCCATTAGGTGGAATCAAACAAAGGATTGAACTCAATTGGAGCTCACTGTCTCTGGGCTTGGGTCTGACAGTCAGATACCACAAACTGCTGAGCTGGAGAAAGTAATAGGAGTTCATCCTGTCACGCTTGGGTCTTGAACACAGACTATCAGCTTTCCAGCTGACAAGCTCAGTGTCTTTAACAGCTGAGTCATTTCACCTCTCTTAGTACATCCACCTTAGTGGAAGAAAAATTGGAAATGTAGTTGCTGGCTCTCTATTGAGGATCTGAAATCATCTGTCCCTTGTTTAAAAGTCTTTCACACCAGAGTTTCTAGATATGAATGAGACAGTATTGAAGAATTAGCAGATGCATTTGAACAGAGAGTTTCAGCTACTTTTGGGGCGGGGTTCACTATATTGTATGGACAGATTCCATTTGGCTCATGTTCAATGATTTATGTGAAACTAGAATAATGAGCAAATTCAGCAACCAGGTTAATATGCTGTGATGAAAGATCAATTTGTGTGTGTATTTTTTTTTAAAAAAGGAAATTGAAAACAAATCTGATCAAACAGGATATTTTGGGGGAGAAGAAACCATTATTGAGAGCCAAGAGGATTGAAATTGCAAAGATTTAATTGAGTAACTGCTGTACCAAATCACACTGTTTTGAAGTCCTGATTACACACCCAGGAATTTATTTGCCTGAGGAAAAAATGTTGCATTATGGGTTTACAACAGGGGTCCTCAACCTTGGCAACTTTAAGAGTTGTGGACTTTAATTCCCTGAATTCTGGGAGTTGAAGTCCACAAGTCTTAAATTTGCCAAGGTTGAGGATCCCTGGTTTACAAGATCAAAGATTAGTTTCACTGCTGTAGACTTCTAAAGCTCAGACAACACATTCACAGCTCATGGAATCTTGTAACACCATAAAAGTTATTGACATTACATAATGGGGAATAAAGAATTACTCAGGTAATGGATGAGCTCGGCAAATCCAATGTGCTTTCTCCTTTTGAAAAAAAAAAGAAACTAATTATGTTTCCAAAATGTTTTTAAATAATTGTTTTGTTTGTTAAAAATCTGTAGAATTCTAGAGAGTGATCAACAAATACCTTATACTTCACCCTTGGGGCTGAATTCAATATCAGAAACTGCTAAGACCGTCCTTATAGATATAATTTAAGTAAACTGTGATTCTTGGTAATCAGGCAGAGGAGAGATGGATAGAAAAATATAATTGTGCTTTTTATAGCCTCACCCTTTTTATCCACATGAGGGACCTACTGGATTCAAAATAAACATTTTCTCACCTTATCATTTTCAAATTACAGTGATACCTTGGTATTTGTCCTTAATTGGTTCCGGGAGGCAAGATGAATACTAAAAAGGATGAATACCAAACAAACCATGTGACTTATCATGGTCTTTCAGCTGGGAAGGACTTCCTAGCTGTCCCTTTTCCTATGTCAATGACCTTCCCAGCATGGCTTACTTCCTGCCCGCCCTCTGCGACCACCCCCCACCTCCTTTTGCATCACATCAAATACGGAGTATCAGGACAACATTTTCATGTCAAAATGCATTGGGTACTAAATTTGACGAGTTTTGAAGCAGTTGAGTACCAAGCTACCACTATATACAGAATAACCTCTGCTCCGCTAATAATCTATCTTCATTCCATTGTACGCTTTTGCTCAACCAAGTATTAATGCAATGGTTCTTACTCATATATTACACACATTTTACTCAGGGCAGGTTTATTCTCTTTCCTCCTACACTTGTTTTAATATTCTCTGTGTTCCTACAAGGTGTCCAGTGTTATTTGACCTCCTTGCTATTCTTAAATAGCAATCAACTATGGGGCTCAATACATCTTGAGGTCTTGCCAAAGCAGAAAAGTGGGACACAAATCAATCAAACAGACTAACAAAATACGGACCTTGAAAAGAAAAGAAAAGATGACCACTTGCAATCTCTCATCTTAACAAGACAGCCTTACAGGTGTTACCTTCTGGAGCTTGTCCACAATAAAAGGATGGCCTCTGTATGCTTCTAATTTGGTTCCACTTCCAGATGTATAGAGGTTTATTTAAAGTATTTTTTTTTCAAACTGCTATTGGGGAAAATTGTTCTGATATGACTAAGAAGAAATAATCTTCACTAGGAGTAGCATTACCTTACTATACATACCTTTTTCAGGGCCTCTCAAGAGTAGAGGATATTTTTCCCAAGCTAAACACCATCTAAGCTTATTCAAATCACAATGCCAACTCTAACTGCATCTAAGCCATTTCTTCAAATCTTTTCTTTGTGATGGTTATATCTAGATTTGGACACTGTGAAATACAAGAAGAGTACTGCCCACTTTCCAATTAATAAAGGAAATAATAAAATATAACATAGCCATACTACAATACACTGCTAGATAGAATATATTTTTATCTTGTTGTCTAGTATTTTTTTGAAATGTCCCATTTAAAAAAAATCTAAAACAGTTGGAAGTAAAAAATGAAAAAAAATGGTGTGATTTTCTTTCTTTTAAATTTTTCTTTACAGTGGTATGGTAATAAATGCAAAAAATATGCATAATAAACTTGAACGCAAGAGGTTTTCTGGTCCCATCTCTGCCAACAGGGCTCAGGCTGGAATAGAAAATGAAAAAAGTTGACAAATTTTACACATCTTGGATTCCCCCCCTCCTTTTGGCGATAGCTTTGGTAGATAATGATCCATGAATAAAAGTTACTGCAAATTAATAAACCTTTCAGTAGGTATGTAAAATGCCGGAAAGGAAAGCTTAACCCTGAGTATGAAATCAACATAAATGCTATTGCCTTAATCCAAAATTTTGAATCCTTCCAGTGTTAAGTTGTGCTCATGTCCTAATAAAATAATTCATTACAAAAATGTCTTATCGATTTCAGTGGAATTTAAATGAGATTATTTATGCTCCACTAGATTTGGACCTGGGTGTTCAGCAATGTGTGTCTTTGGATTTCCCCTGTATTTGTAAGACTCTATATCTGCAAAAGACTTCTGGGTCAAATCATCCATCTTAGTTTCAGTTCTGGCAAACACATTGAGTTCTTACCTTTCACCATCCCCCCCACTCCAATCTTTTCCTCCCCTTCCCAATGCCTAAGTGGAACTTAAATGGTCCACATGAAGACATGTGACCAGGCAGGAGAACCTTTCAAAACAGATTTGTGCTGAGATGATGATTCATTCATTAACAAGGCTTGGCAAAGGATCACACTGAGCCCTGTTTTGGCTGTAGAAAAAAAAAGGGGAAAGAGGAAGAGGAAGAAGAGAAGAAGAAAAATAACTAAGTTGCAGCAGAAATCAAGATTATATAGATGGCCAACACAAACCATAATACCCTCTCTCATTGTCTGCATAAGAGTATCATCACAGTTGCATATAGAACAGCCTTTTTCGTTATTGCTCTACTTCATAAAAATATAAGGAACTTAGAACAGAAACATTACAAACTTAAGGTTCTTTGGTGAAGAATGGAAAAAAAACAACAGTATTTCAGCGGTAAGTCAAATCCTAGAAGCAAGTGGTTGCTCCTATCTGTTGATCCGTTGGATCCTTTCACAAAGAAGAGACAGGTATTGGGTCAACTTGACCATGGCAACAATGACAAGTCCACCTATCATCATACATGTTGGCCAAAAGAGTGAGTGGAACAGCACATTGGAACTGTAAAGTTTGGTTAGCAACACATTCTTTTGAATGCCTTCTGGGTCACAGAAACAGGTAAAGTGCTGATACTTCTTGAAGTTTTCCATGACGACATTGACAAGGGACAAAGACTCTTCAAAGTTCTTTCCACATTTGGGTATATAAGAACACTGTAGGGATGGAAAAAGATAAATGAACAAAGAGAAAGATAGTGCATTCTGAGATGAACACAAGCGTTGAACATTTCATTTCAAGCATGATGTTAACTGACATCTATCATTTTAACTCCCTTTTTATGACCCTGTAATACCTTAATTTGGGGTAGATTTGTGGCAACTGGATGGAGTTGAGCATTTACTGGCCCAATGCCCTTCCTGAACAGCACGTGGAGTTCACAGCACATATTTTTTCTTTACACCCTGAGAGAGAAATATCCGCCGCTACCCAGGATTGAACCCTCAACCTTCTAAATGGGAGCTGAGCGTCTTCACCATTAGGCCACCATGCCACTCACATCTATCATTTTAACTATAGCTAAAACTATATATAGTTTTTTAAAATATATTTCTGAGAATGATACTGTTATGAAGAATTTCTAATAAATCCTTCCCTAACAATTATCCTCACAATGAGTTGGACTATACCTTCTATAGTCATTAGACATCATGACTACCCAATGTGGGAACCACACATACAACATGTTACATGGAACATATACACATTTCATTTCAGGGAGTGATTTTGGTGGTAGACATACCTTTTATCTGTGCTTTTGAAGTCATCAAGGCAATAGTGCAAAAGGTTGGCAGTTCTAATGATACATTATACATAGAAACTGAAAGCACATTATTTACAGTACGTAACACAATTAATTTACTAAAATTGACCAAAAAGGGTACTAAGAGTTTTGCTGCCCATACATCTTCCTTCTCCAAAGTACCACTGTAAATATAGTATGCTCTTAGAGTTTTGCTATCTTTTCCCATCAAAAATGTTGTAGTTCACATCTGCTTAGCTTCAATAATCATCTAGGTCAAAATACAAAATCTTTTTTAAGTCAGAGGCTCATCTAAAATATTGAGAGCATGTGGCTCAAAATGGTTGCTTTGGGGCAACCTGCCTGTCAACAAAATGGCTGCCATAGTGGACATGGCCAATCACAAAACACCCAAGAAGGTGAACTAGTGAGACATCTAGTGAGACTTTAATGGGGCCCAGTGCATTGCTACAAATATATTGTTTTTTTTCAACACGCTATTTATTTAAATACCTGCATGTTGAGAAGAATAGTATATTTAAATAGATGGTCCCAGTGGACCACAGTTTAAGTATGAACCAGCAATGTGCCGCTGTTGCCAAAAAACAAATGCAGTCCTGGGCTGCATCAACAGAGAATATCATCAAAATCATGAGAATACTGATTTATAAGACACTAGTGAGGCCACACTTGGAATACTGTGTACAGTTCTGGTCATTACAACACAAAAAAGATGTGGAGACCATAGAAAATTGCAGAGAGGAGCAAACAAAAATGATGAAGAGTCTGGTGGTTAATTTGTATAATAAAAGGTTGAGGGAACTAGGTATGTCTAGTCTATCAAAGAGAAGGATTAGGGATGGAGGAACATGATGACTGTCTTTCAGTACTTGAGGTACAGCCACAGAGAAGAGGGGATTGAGTTATTTTCCAAAACATCAGAGGACAGGCCAAGGTGTTATAGCTAGAACCTTGGTAAAGAGAGATCCAACCTAGAAGTAAGGATAAATTTTCTGATAGTGAGAACAATTTATCAATGGAATAGCTTGCCTCCTGGGGTTGTGAGTGCTCCATCACTGGAGGTTTTTAAGAATAGACTGGACAACCATTTGACTGGCATGATGTAAGCTCACCTGCCTTGAGCAGGGGGGTTAAACTGGAAGACCTCAGATACCTTTCTGCCCTATGATTCTATTTTCTATGTTCTAAAAATAATCCCCTGTGCAAATTAGATGAGGCAAGAATCATGATAATGCAAGGGATATGTTTGAGGGACAGACACATCCTACCCCAGTCTTGAGAGTTCACTA